ACAGGAATTGGGGCGTGGTATTCCAGAACCATCCCGGTCAAGAGCAGCTCACTGCCGTTGGAGCTCAGTATGAGCGCTGTTGGCGAAAGCAAATGAAATGTGGATGTGTAATTCCATGCAGTCGGCCCCCACTTTGAAGCAGGTTTACCAAGACCCATTCAATCCATTTGGCTCCTCTTAGGGATGATTTGATTGTTACAGTCTACTGACCAGCCGTGTCTCGTTCACTGTAAAATGTGCAGTGCCCGGCACGTGATGCGTAACAGGTTATTTGTTGAATGAGTAAGTGACCATTCGGGAACGGTGAAATGGAAAGCAAATCCTATTTGGAACATTCATTTTCATACATGACTTGGAACATTCATTTTCATACATGATTTGGAACATTCATTTTCATACATGACTTGGAATATTCATTTTCATATATGATTTGGAACATTCATTTTTATACATGATTTGGAACATTCATTTTCATATATGCTTTAGTCAAATCGATGTTGGCGTCTGAGGTCTGAGTCCCATTTCTGACCTCCTGTGAACTGACAGCGAAATGGACCACCAGGGAAGCACCCGACGGTGACAGGTGCCTGCTCTGTGGTTCAGGAAGTGGCTGCGTGACCTTGAACGAGTGGATGAGGCTCCCTGGGCCTCAGGTTCCTGCTGCATCTGTCCATTGTGCTCCGCAGTGCAGATGTGAGTGGATGGAGTCCAGGGGGAAAACAAGGCTCCGTGTGCGTTTCCTCCCCGGGGGCTGCCTGGGGCATTCCCTGTGCAGCGAGAAGCCCCTCGCAGGAGAGGATTCTGCATTGTTTCCCACTGTCTCTGCCCTGGGGAACCCCTGTTAAAAGGGGGATTCCTTATTCCCGGCTCTCCGGAGACCACAGTGTCAGGGAACACAGTTTGAGAAGCTCCGCTTGATCTGGAAGCCTCGAAAATGCAGCTGTTTTAGACAGGCTGTTAGAAGCCAACGCTTTTGTGGCAAACATTGTTCTAGACCCCAGTTCAAATCATTCCTGTGTCGGGAAAAGTGGGTTATGTGAGAATTTTGGAAACCCCTTCTGAAAAATATCAACCATTCCGATTATTTACACGACCATGTGGTGGGCACTGTCCTAGGGATCTAGTCACCCACCAATGCTCGGTGTCCTGAGCTTCTTTTTAGGGGAGAGACAAGCGCACCGCCCGGACTGGCCAGGCTGGCTGCAGCGCGTGGCCCCACGCAGACTGAAATGTCCCGCCAGGCGGCCATGATCGATGCGATGCTACAGGAGACAGCCCGAGAGCAGTGGCGAAGCTGTGCTATCCGGGGTGGTCCAGGAGCTTCTGGAAGAGGCTGATGGAGAGAGACCCACGTGAAGAAGTAGGGGTTGGAGCAACTCTAACGCCCGGAGGAAGAGTGCGCCAGGCGGAGGGACTGGCTCCAGCCCAGGCCTGGGAATGGGACGGCGCTTGGCACCTGGGAGGAGAGAAAGGCCGCCCCTGTGTCTGAGGGCCCTGACAGGTCGGCTATAAGGCAGGCCCGTATAGCGTTCAGTTGATGCTCAGCCCCGGGGGCAGGCACTGTCATTACCCGCTCACAGATGAGGCAATGAAGGCATGAGGAGGGGACTCACTAGCCCAGGACCACAGAGCTTAGGAGCGGCAGAGCCGGACGTGAACCCGGCAGCCTGGCCATGGAGTCTCTGCCGCCCGGCAGTGGTGAGAGGGGCCGCAGGGCATCCCCCGTCAGCTACCGCACTAGCACCTGGACCAGAACATTCCTCATTCCCGTGTTAGGAGCTCGTTAACTGCGGCGTTCCCATGGCCACCTTCCCCGCGCACCCGCGTTGGGGGGCAAGCAGCAGGGGGCAGTGGGACAAAGAGCCACTTACTGAGCCCGTCCGTGGTGGAGCCTCATATTAACCCCATGTGCTAGGATTTTTCCATCTTACAGATGAGGACCCTGAGGCCCAGGGAGGGTAGTTGCTTGTCCAATGTCCTATCACTAGGAAGTGGTGGAACCAGGGTGTACACCTGGGCCAGTGGTTCTTAACTGGGGTGACTTTGTCCTCCAGGGGCCATTTTGGGTTGTCACAACTGCGTGTGGGGTGCTCCGGCCATCTAGTGGGTCGTGGCCAGGGATGCTGCCAAACACCCTACTGTGCGCAGGATGCCCTCCCCCCCCGCCCCCAGGACTAGTCGGCCCTGAGAGGGCTTGACCCAGGCTGGTGGAGTCCAGGTCCCAGCTGCCTGTCCACAGAGGGCACTGCCCAGGCTTGGAAACACCACAGCCCCCCAAATTAAAACCACAATGAGACATCACCTCAACCTGTCAAAATGGCCACCATCAATGAATCAGCAAACAGGATGTGGAGAAAGGGGAACCTCATGCACTGCTGGTGGGGATGCAGACTGGTGCAGCCACTGTGGAAAGCAGTGTGGAGGTTCCTCAAAAATTAACAATGGAACTGCCTTATGACCCAGCGATTCCACTTTTGGGAATTTATCTGGAGAAACCCCAAACACTAATTGGAAAGAATATACGCACCCCTATGTTGATAGCCGTGTTATTCACAATAGCCAAGATTTGGAAGCAGCCCAAGTGCCCATCACAGACGAGTGGATAAAAAAGTTGTGGCATGTTTACACAACGAAATACTACTTGGCCATAAAACAGAAGGAAATCTTACCATTTGCATCAGCATGGATAGTCCTGGCGAGCACTGTGCTGAGTGAAATAAGCCAGTCAGAGAAAGACAAGTCCTGTATGACCTCACTCATATGTGGAATCTAATGAACAAACTGAACTAACAAGCAAAACAGAGACAGACTCATAGATAGAGAGCAGGCTGACAGCTGTCTTTGGGGAGGGGGTGCTGAGTGGGAGAGTGGAAGAGGGATTGAGCAAAATAGAAAAAAAAGAAAAAGAAAAAAACCTATGGACATGGGCAATAAGCGTGGTGATTGCGGGGGGAGGGGAGTGGGGGCAGGTGGAGGACGGTATGGGGGGTAAATGGTGACAGACGGAGACTTGACTTGAGCTGGTGAACACACAATAGCGCATAGAGGATGTGTTGTGGAATTGTGCCCCTGAAACCTGTGTAATTCTGCTAACCAGTGTCACCCCAATAAATCCAATGAAAAGAAACAACAAGAAACTCTACAGCCCCAAGTTCAAATTTCAGCTCCCCACATTGATTGGTTGTTTGAGTCTGGGCACCGCTCCTAGCTTCAGTTTCTTTATCTGAGAAATGGGCTCATCAACCCCAAAGGTTTGGGGGAGGATTAAAAATGAATGTGGGAAACACTGAGGTTATTGTCTTGTTGTTCTCTTCTCTTTCCTTTTCTCTTCTTCGTTTTATAAGAACTCTATGGTTTGACACATTTGATGGAGACTTTGGGGTTCCTAGCTTGGGTAGAGCTACATTCTCCCAGAAGCTAAGGGCCATGACAGCTGAGGCCCATCTCAGCTCTGCTTCCTCTCAGCCTAGAACAGTGGTGTCTGGCGTGGAGTAGGTGCCCTCTAAATGTCAGCCTCTTGCCCTCAACGTCACACACACACACACACACACACACACACACACACACACACACACAAAGTGACAGGTGACCTGGGGAGGGGCCCAGAGGGCTTATCAGCCAGAGAGACTCCCCCTGCATTTGGGGGTGGCCTTCTTTCCCGCACCCTGTCCAGCACACGGGACATAAGAGGGACATGTGAGCAGATGAGCAGGTGAGCAGGGAGCACTTCCTTAAACTCGCTCTCACTCTCCTCACCCTGT